CTACTCACTGGAACATGTTCACTCTACAATACATTTCATAGCTGGCGCTCCTTCCAGACACAAAATCCTTCACATTGTTAGCCCTAGAAGATGGGTGCAAGTTAATATGTCCAATAATAAGAGGGATCTGATGAAATTGATTTTCTTCAAATTGATCATAGAAGTGAAAAACAGTACAGTTTTTTAGAGTCAAGGCCATGACAGAGCAGGGAGGGAAATCAGGTTCGGTTGGCAAGTAGAAACCCTATACTGCATCTACTGCAAGAACGATGTCTGTATGTTTTGTAAGAAATGCCAGCATTCTCCTTTTCTTTTTCTTTTTTTTTAATATATATATCTTATTGATTTTGTACAGAGAGGAAGGGAGAGAGATAGAGAGTTAGAAATATCGATGAGAGAGAGTCATCGGTCAGCTGCCTCTTGCACACCCCCTACTGGGGATATGCCCGCAACCAAGGTACATGCCCTTGACTGGAATCGAACCCGGGACCCTTCAGTCCCCAAGCCAACGCTCTATCCATTGAGCCAAACCGGTCTCGGCAGCATTCTCCTTTTCAATCATTGCAGCAAACCAGATCTATATATTTATTTTGAAAATGTTTTATATCACTCAGAAGAGTTAACTTTTCTGATAGCACTCCTGCCTCCAGATTAAATTCTTGTTAAAATTTACATCATGTAACTGTGACAAAACAAGTAGTTAAGCTGCTATTTTAGTCCTGGGTAAACAAAGTAATAAACAGACAAAAAGAACCTCACTTTTCAACTGATTGTCAGGAAGCTGTGCTGACAGAATCAAAGGATGAAATACGTGAAATTATAAAGGAAGAGGCTGTCAGTAGCGACTTCAGGATAAATCAGAATCAACATAACACAACACTTATTCAACACCAAGAAGTATTTATCATTATCTCACATTTCATTAGAAGGGCTGAAAGAAGGCTCTTAACACAACCTTGCTGATTAATTGTGGTGTGCATGCACTGAAACATTTCCAAGGTGGAGAACGGTTACACATAATAAAATAACAAAGGAATAGTCTATTAAAAACCAAATCTTCCTTTGCTTCTGGCATAGACGTGCAACAACCTGTAGAAAGATGGCAGCAAGCATGCAATATTTAGAGACATAAATGCAGCCTCACGGAGAAATATCCTGATGCAATTACTTGGGTTTCTTTCAGAATAAAATTAAGTCAGGCCACAAAGGTCTGATTTCTTGGGAATAAGAGGGCATGCGGGCAATGTGTGTGAGAGGGGGTTGGGAGTAGGGGTGCAGGTGCACAAAGACTCTAGATTCTAAACGGTTCGATGCACTACATTGACTTGTGTTGGTGAGTATAATAATGGGAAGGTGTAAATGGAATTGATGTTTAAAAATATTGATTCTCACAAAACAAACAGTCCTTTTTCCCAAAGGCAGCAGTGCATGGAGGAGAAAAAGTGGCAACTGAGAAGGTCAGAGGCCAGGTCAGACCCTTCCGAGCATGCCACAGTACATCATTAGCAGGAAGGGACCGGGAGGCATGTTTCCTGATGGCCATGCTGAGCAGAAAGCACATTCTGGGCTGGGACTGCAGCTACAGTCTGTACAGCCGCATCTCTTACCACGGACATGCAAAGGCAAGGACCACAGATGGAGGCCTCGGTCTCTCAGCGGAAAGACAGCAATGCAGAACTGAGCAAGGAAAGGCACCATTATCACCTTTGTGTGTGTAAAAAATCAAAATATTTGCTTTAAAGGTCATGGCTAAATTATATTGTTTCTAAATCTCTAGCAAGATGTTGAACAAGGATCTGACCTTTTACCTCACTCATTCTTACACATACACACATACACACACACCTCCGCTCACTTATTCTTACACACTCACACACTTCCACTTATTCCTTCTCACCCACCTCCACTCACTCATTCACACAAATACACACACACACACACACACACACACACACACTCACAGACACCTCCACTCACTCATTCCTACGCACTCATACACATACCCATCCACGCACTTATTCCTACACACTCACACACACTTCCACTTATTCCTTCTCACCCACCTCCACTCACTCATTCACACACACATACACACACACACACACACTCACTCATTCCTACACACACACACTCACACACACCTCTACTCACTCATTCCTACACACACACACACACACACACACACACACACCTCTACTCAGTATTCCCAGACACATACCTCCACTCACTCATTCCTTCTCACACAGGCACCTTTACTCACTCATTCCTACACACACACACACACACACACACAGACACACACACACACACACACACACACACACATCTATTTTTAGGTGCCTGATTGTCCCCATCTATTCCAACCTCTGTGCCAGACTGTGTTGTCCTAATTGGATCCAAAAGCAGTAAATGTAATGGGACATGGTTAACCTTCCAAAGACCTATTAGTCCCCTCAGCTGTAACAGCTGGTGGGAAATTTAAGGAGTTCCAATAAATCACCCAAAGGCAGAGAGCAACTGCCAATAAAAAGGGAATTTCAGAAAAAGGATTATCTGGTGGAAAACCTTCTGGCATTACAAGTATCCGTCTATAATTTCTTTAAACCTTATCCTAGCTTCTACCTCTCTCTGGTCTCCCACACAGCAAGTGTGAATCAGCTTTTCTTAAATCTGAGCTTCACTCTGTAATGTTTTCATAATGTTTTCTTGGCTCAGTGTTAACTTCATGGTAATTTTTACTGATAAAATCCAATTCTGAGTATCACATTTTCACATGGGCTGTTTTATGCATGTGTGTGCATACACATGCCACACACTGGCAGCCTGAAAATTCAAAATGAGGCCCGCACTGCAGCATGGATGCCAGGTAGCCACAGGTTTGGTGTCCTAGGTTTTCCTTCACAAAGCCAAACTTCAAAGGACCATGCACATGGACAGCAGTGTGGTGATGGTGGGGGCAGGTGGAGGTGGAAGAAGGCATAAAGGGGATAAATAGTCATGGGAAAAATAAAATAAAATAAAATAAAATAAAATAAAATAAAATAAAATAAAATAAAATAAAATAAAATAAAATAAAATAAAATAAAAACACAAGATTGTGAGATCTTGTGAGTTTTAGTGTAGCTGAGGCAAAAAAAAGAAATACTTGAGGCTGTTTGGCAAGAGCCTATATGTAAGCCATGAGTTAGCTCATTTAATCATCAAATAGCCTGTTAATATTTTGTGTATTTTATATTAAAAATATGAAGTTATATTGAGGTTAAATAACTTATGCAGGGGCCACAAATAATGGCTGAATGTGCTGCATCCAATGGAGGTCTCATGACCACATCTAGCAAATAACTAAAATTATGAATGTTCTTACAAACTGTTCCAGAGGTCAGCTTCTAACCTTTTTAAAAAATAATCTTCCAAACTTATTCTGCATTCCAGGAAACAAACTTTTACTTGTTGAGGATTGAATTGCTTAACAGAGAGTAAAATGATACTTTCACATGTTTTATAAATTTTGAAATTTATACAATTTGGAGCTCTCAACAATTTATATCTATAATATCGAGAATAAAAGTATAATATGCTAATTAGACCAGACGTTCTTACAGACGAACTTCTAGAAGACCATGCTATGACACCCACCAGTGCCAGGCCAGCCAAGGCTGGTACAGTGAAAATAGTTGGGGGCCAGGCCATCGCCCCATGATCATCCTGCAGAGGGAGGCCCAGGCCACTAGCCGGTGGGGCAATTGATCAATTGGGGGACTCCATGACCACCCCAAAGAGGGAGGCCCAGGCAACCAGTGGTGACACTGAGGCTAGTGGACAGGGCCATCCTTTTTGGGGTGATCAATCATGGGGCTCCCGGACTGGAAGAGGGCACAGGCCAGGCTGAGGCACACCTACCTTCAGTGTTTGAATTTCATGCACTGGGCCTCTAATAATTAAATATTTTACTAAACATGGCAGGTTACCTGTTTTCCAAGTAGAATCCACATCTTCGACCCTTTTATTCACTGGTTTCCTTTCTCTCCTCCTCTCTCTAGAATTCCGCAGTGACGTGCATGCAGAGTTCTCCAGGGCCCCCAGGGATGTTTGTGACCTCTCCCTGCCAGTGGGTCTTTGAGTAGCACCCAACACGATGGCGGGGAGCTGGACGGGGTTATGTGCTAGCAGTGGAAGAGACCCTAGTCAGGCATCCAGAGGAGCTGCAGGCCCTGACCACCTCAGCAGGAGGCAACCAGTCATGGCACCTAAGGTAAGATGCAGAGAAGAAACAGCCCCATGACACAAGGGGGAATGACATCTACCCCAAGCAACATCACAACAAGAAGAGAAACTTCTCGAAGGCACTCCTTTACTTAGGGAGGGAAAGCCAAGCTGGGAAATCAAAGGCTATTCTCTTCCATTGAAAGAACTAAGACAGAGATGAACGGCCGTCAGGCAGCACGTCCAGGGTCCTCAAGGAGAGAGAATGAGCGATCCTAAAAGGCTTCTGGGACTAAGTAATCCCGTTTCTGCTTATTAACAAGTTAATTAAAAAAAAAAAAAAAAAAAAAAAACTTGAAAAAGAAAAGAGTGTGCTAATTTGCTTTTTAGGGTTCTTGAGGATTGGGAGTAAGAGTTAAGTCACAACAAAAAGTAAGTTCCACCAATCAGAATCTATGGGTGAGAGGAAGTGAGACGTACCAGACAGACCCAGGACACCCTGAGCAATGGAATACACCGACAACAAAAAAGGCAATTACAAAACGTGCACATCACATTATGCTTTTTTAAAAAAATATATATTTTATTGATTTTTTACAGAGAGGAAGGGAGAGAGAGAGCTAGAAATGTCGATGAGAGAGAAACATTAACCAGCTGCCTCTTGCACACCCCCTTCCAGGGATGTGCCTGCAACCAACGTATATGCCCCTGACCGGAATCGAACCTGGGACCTTACAGTCCGCAGACTGACGCTCTATCCACTGAGCCAAACCGGTTCCGGCCACACCATGCTTTTTAAGACACTTTGCATTGTGCTCACATTCCCTTAAATGTTGTTTCCCAAGGTGCTCAGCCTCTAGCCCAATCCAAGTCTCTGAGAGACAGACAATTGGACAAAAGATACATGGGTTGGGAAAGGGTGGAGGCAGTGAAAGGAGAAAGCAGCCTTCCAGTTAAAGATCAACCTCAGTTTAAAGGTCACTTCAAGCCGGCTGGCCTCAGCGGAGTCAGGGTCAGAGGGAGGAGCAGGGCAGGGCGGGACTGGGTAGCTCCATCTCACTCAGGTCCAGCAGAGCAGGTCCAGCCTCTTTGTGTACAGGGTGTTCCTCTTTAGTGCATTTCAGTTCATCTTCCAAATCATCAGGTGTCTTTCCCAGCATGGCTACCGGTCTCTCAGCAAGCTCAGCACGGGTCCCTGCATCCTTGAGTTTATCAGTAAGAATCTTGATCTCTTCCTCATATTTGTCTTCTTCTGGAGGATACTTTTCTTCAGCGACACTCAGACACCTCATTCTGGCCCATCAGTCTGATCTGCTCATGCATCTCTTGGCAACGGGACTCTGCCAGCTCAGCACATTCCTCTGTGCATTCCAAGTCTCCCTCAATAATCACCAACTTATGAGCCCCCTTTTCATACTTTCTGTCTCTTCTGCAATGTGCTTAGCTTCTTATAGGACTCTCTTTCACGGCCCGCGTAGAAAGAGTTCCAATTCAGGGTTCAGCTTCTGGAGAAGGGCCGCACACAAATGAAAAGAGACTTGAAGAAATTCAATTTGGCGATTTGGGGGGCCAGGCGGTAGTCCAACTCTAGTGGGAGAACTACTACTGCTCTGGCCCTGCCATCCCCTTTTATTGAGGCTTTGGGGAAAACATCTTAAGCAACATAAACAGAAATTTACATGTAGCCCTTAGGCAGGAAATAACAGAAACTTACACATGACAAATAAGGTAGATTCTGCTTCAGCTAACAAAATCTCAACTAAAGGTTAGAGCAATTAAGGTTGTTGACCAGCCTTCCTGGCTTCCTGTCAACATCTCTTTTTCAGTGAAACTGATTTGGTTTCCAGCATCTCCCCCGTTTTCTTTCCTTAAAAAATTTTGCATATGTAGACTAGAAATAAACAAAAAATGAAACAAGCAATGCTGAGAGTCAAATGAAATCAGTCTGCAGTAAGTTTCTTTCTGGGCCAACAGTTTTTGAATCCCAGATTCAATGTCAGTTTTTTGAGTCCAATTTTAATGTCCAACAGTTCTGAGTCCATGTCAGCAATGGTATCCGGATGGTGGAAAAATGGTGGCAATGCAGGTCCGACCTCTGGTTTGGTCCTGGACAACCTGCAGCGCACATCTGCTGACTGCTCGTATGGCAAGGTGTCGTCAGCATCTTCCATCTCTGGTCTGTTTTTCCTCTTGTCTTTATGGCTGGAGCACTCCTGTCAATTCCTCTCTGTTGCAGGAATCCACATGGTCTTGGAGTTGTTTTCTGAAAATATACAAACATATCTCGACCAAAATTAATAAAGGAATCTTTTCTATAAATCTTACTTGGGATACTTTTAATTTTTTGCCCAAACAATTTTTCTTTGACTTATTTTGGTACTATGTGTGTTTTTCATGGCCGTCTTACTGTTATCATTACAAATGAAAATTGGTTTTCAAAAGAAGAAATTTTTCTAGATGTAACTTACTTACAGGACATTTTTTCTTACATGGTATTTTCCACTATCCCCCTTTTTTCTATTTAATTATTAGGAGGCTTTTGGAAAAATTTTTTATAATGCTGTTTTGATAACTTGTAAATTTTAATTTTTTGTACAAAAACTATGACTGCTTTAGGGTTTATTGTATGTTAAACAATTTTACCACGAAATGGACTACCAATAGAAATTTTGGTTAATACTTTAGGAACAGCCTGTTGTACAATTAAATTTTCTTGAATATTAACACATTTCATTTAGCCAATTTAAATTAATCTGAAAACTTGACTATTTTACTGTCAAATTTAATACTTTAACAACAATTTTAGTTTACTCTGTAAATATTAATGGAAAAGATTATATGCATCCTTGAGAAAGCCCTGAGCACTTGTAGATTTAGGCTGGATTTAGATGTAGGACAGTCGCCATCAGCCACTTCTCTGTTGTTTGGGTCTCAACAAGAGCTGTGCCAAGTCTCTTGTTTGTAGCTGGGTCTCAATCTGAGCTGAACCAAATCTGTTTGTTGCCTGGGTACCAATCTGAGCTGGGTATGGGGAGCATGAAGTAGCCATGGGGCAGGAGACATCCCTCAAAAGGGCGAGTGTTCAAGCCCCTGCAGCGTTGGGGGGTGAGGATCTGTGCCTCACCTTTGTTGGCCCCCAAGTCCTCTCCTGATGGCCCTCTGTGGCTGTGCCTGTCTTAGGTTGTCCCTCCCTTGAGGAATCTTACCCGTCATTGGCTAACCAGCCATCCTCCGGGGCCAAGCAGGGTGATGTGAGGTTCAGTTCTGTCTCCTTGGTAGCCTATGCCCTTATGGCCTCCATGCCCAGTAGCTGCCTTGGGATCCCCTCGCCTGCTGGTGGGGCCCCGGCATTGATCACATATCTTGGGGACCAGGTTTCTTCTCCAGGGAGATCCCAGCTCACGCCATTGTGTGAGAGACAGATTCATGGTACCGGCCACCACGAGGCTTTAACCTCAGCATGAATTGAAAACTCTGGCAACAGCTGTGGGCAATTGGATTGTGACAAGAGGGTCCCTCTTTGCAAATAAGGCAAGAAAGGCCAATATAGAATGCTCAAGTGCCTTCCCAGTGAGGCTTTCCACACAGTGGAAGGGATTAAATCCTTTCATGTCCTTTTAAATTGCTGCCAAACATTCAAAAATTAGATTTTTAATTTTGTTTGGAATAATTGTACAATATGCTGTTGTAAAATATCAAAAATTATAAATGACATTGTAGAATAATACCATGCAAGGATATTCTTTGCTCTAAGCCAGTGGCAATTCAAATTCAAACTGGCTGTCAATTTCTTTTAGTATAGACAAGGTCTTAGTTACATTCTCTGCACCTCTCCCAGGAGCAAGTAGTGATATTCCTCTACTTTGGTGCAAACCAGAAACCTCTCTTTAATTTTATACACAAAGGAGCATTGGTTTTATTTTGTGTCATACAAAAAGGGAAGCTGGGTGGCAACATCTGTGTAATTATACTTCCTTGCCCCACCCATTTTCTTCCTGGATGACCAAGGTGCTTAGTATTATTGGTGACTACATTGGCAAGGGATCAGCCCACATAAGGGCTTTTACCCATGAATGGTCAGGAACGTAAGTCCTAAACACTTCCACATTTGTTCCAGGTAATATTACCGTACAGATGAATACTGCTAACATGGCAAGAAAGACATTCTCAGGTGTCAGGCGTCTGTACTGTCTTCTTCACCATGCCCCAGGTGTTCTCCAGGCTGTTTGCTGTCCGGCTCGTCCTCCTGCTCATCTTCAGTGGACTGCTTGGAGTCACTGCCCTCTGTAGCTGGAGTAGTTGATTGTCTGCAGCTGCATGGTGTGGCTCCAGACGCAAGGTCCTCATTAGTCTGGCTAGTTTCTCTCCTGGATCCCTGTTGCAGTTTAATATTTCTAGCAGGAATCCACACTGGTTTGGAAAAATTTTCTGGGAATATACAAGCATACCCTCTGCCAAACGTTAACAATGGATCAGGTCCCTTCCATAAACCAGATTCAGGATCCTTCCATTTAACTAGACCATTTTCTTTTGTTTTACTCTGATGCCAATGTATTTCCATAGGCGTCCTTCCTTCATCATCACAAGTGAAAAAGTTTAAAGTAATTAAGGCTTGGTGCAGCCTACCTGCAGGTGATTTCTCCATCATCCCACCTTTTTGTTTTTCAAGTTGGGATTTTAGCCGCTGATGCTGTCGTTCAATAATGGCCTGTCCTTGGGAATTATATGGTATTCTTGTAATGTGCTGAATTTTCCACCTTTTACAAAATTCCTGGAATTGACAGCTTGTGTAAGCAGGCCCATTATCAATTTTAATAATTTTTGGAATTCCCATGATGGCAAAAGCAGCTAGGCAATAATTAATAACCTGTTTTGCTGTTTCTCCTGTAGATGCAGTAGCCCATAGGACTTTTGAAAAGGTATCTACGGAGACATGTAATGCCCCAAGGCGTCCAAAGGAATTATAATGTGTTACATCCATTTGCCAGATATGGTCTTTTAGCAAACCTCTGGGGTTGACTCCTGTGTTAGGCCCTTGAGGTAGATGTAACATGCAAGTTGGACACTCCTTAATAATCTGTTTTGCCTGTTGTCGAGTGATTGAGAATTGTTTAGACAACATTTTGGCAGGCTGATGTAAAAGCTGATGAGATTCTAAAGCTTCTTTCAATAAAGCAACCAGTTGATCAGCCTGTGCATTTCCTTTTGTTAAAGGACCAGGTAAGACACTATGAGCCCTGATATGAGTGATATAAAAAGGATATTGTCTCTGTTGTACAATCTGCTGAACTTGTTTGAATAGTAAAAATAAACTTTGGTTACTAAGCCATTTCAATCTGGCAGTTTCAATTCTATTCACTAAGTTTGCAGCATAAAAGGAATCAGAGACAATATTAAGAGGTTCTTGGAAATCCTGCAATGCAGCCTTAATAGCTTCTAGTTCAATTCTTTGTACAGAAGTATGACTGGTCAGTATGACTCGGTCTGAATCTATTGTATGATAGGCAGCTTTCCCATTTGATGACCCATCAGTAAAAACAGTTAAAGCTCCAGGAATAGGTTCCTGCCTAGTATTTTTTGGTATAATGATGGAGGTATTATATAAAAATTGTAATAATTTATCTTTTAATAGATGACAGCTAAGTTCCCCTGAATATCCACTTAACCCAATTTGCCAATTTATATCAGTCTGAAATAACATTTCTATTTGCTTCCCAGTGAGGGGGAGGTAGATACACTGGGGTTCTTCCCCTCTAAGCTGTTTACGACGTTTCCTAATTTGAAATAATAATCGGGACAATAATTCTACATATGTAACTGCAGTTTTAGAGGATTGATGCCCTAAGTGGACCCATTCAATAATGGCAGGAGAATTTTTTTTTGAAAGATGACTCCAGTGGGACTATTTGCAGTAGGGTTAATTTGTCCCAATAAAGGCAATTCGGGCTGTACCCGTGCTACTTGAGCTGAGGAAATTGCCTGCTCAACCCTTAGCAATTCATTCCTAGCTTCATTAGTTAAAGTTCGGGGAGAAGAAAGATTAGAATCACCTCTGAGTAAACTAAATAAATTTGTCATTTCTCCTGTAGATATCTTCAGATAAGGTCTTAACCAGTTAATGTCTCCTAATAATTTCTGAAAGTCATTTAAAGTTTTAAGACTATCTTTTCTTATCTCCACCTTCTGAGGCCTAATGCTTTGGTTTTCAATTATGGTTCCCAGATATTGGAAAGGTATTTCTTTTTGTACCTTCTCTGGAGTGATTCTTAAGCCCCACGTTGGGCGCCAGATATAGGACTCTCTTTCACGGCCCGCGTAGAAAGAGTTCCAATTCAGGGTTCAGCTTCTGGAGAAGAGCCGCACACAAATGAAAAGAGACAAAGAAATTCAATTTGGCGATTTGGGGGGCCAGGCGGTAGTCCAA